TACAACTCCCTAAGCAAAAGATTTGTTAAACTTTATAAGGATATCATATGGTATTATGTAGTCTACTGGGGCTTTATAAAAATCAACATTTAAAAAAATATTTTTATTGATTTCAGAGAGAAAGGGAGAGGGAGATAGTAACATCAAAAATGAAAATTATTTGTCAGCTGCCTCCTGCACGCCCCACACTGGGGATTGAACCGGAAACCAGGGCTTGTGTCCTGACCAGGAATTGAACCGTGACCTCCTGGTTCACAGGTCAATGCTCAACCATTGAGCCATGCCAGCTGGGCAAAATCAATATTGTTATTAAAAGTCACCCATGTTACCAATTGGGCTGTCGTCGATTCATTTTCACTAATACTGTCACTTACAAATGTCCATTTTTCTTTCAATAGTTGTGATATCAAATTGTGGCCTAGGTTTTTGCATTTCATTAGTTAAGCCCCTTTGTATATTGGTCACATACTTGCTCTATGAAATTGACTGTTCAAAATCATTACCTTCTTTATCTCCTTTTCTTGTTATATTTTGTTATATGTTATCTTGTTTCAGTTGCTTATCTTTTCACTTCCAGATACGGTATCTCCTCTCAAACTAAACCTGAGTCATTAATGTGAAAAGCCTGTTGTAATAGGTAACCTTTAACCTTAACCTTTTTGCTTGGGAATCAAGTTTTGCTGAGCAGATCCACAAATTTTGTTTTGCAAACTGTAGTTTTAGAAATAGCTTTTGGCTTGAAAGTCTTGCACACCCGTTTTCCCTTGCATTGTGTATGCACACTGGTGGTAGCCCTGCAGACTGCAGCAGTGCAGACACTGAATCATACAGCCCAGGGGATTTCCCAGAAATGCTTATTCCTGGGTTCCAATCTAAGAAATTATAATCCTTGAGACCTGGTGCTGGGTACAGGCATTTAAAACATTCCCCTCAGATGACCAAAAGCATTAAAGTGAAAACCATAGTTGTTTAGACAGCAGAACATAACCTATCCTATCCACACCGAGCCCCTCACTTGCACGTTCAGGGAAGTTCTCTTGATGCCTTTGCACATGCTGTGACCATCTGGATCCCATCCATTCGCCAAATCTTGCCTCAACACAAATCTTCTGAGAAAGTCTTCTTAAATTTAACAGTGCTGGCCCAAACCAACACCCAATAACAAAAAATGTAAGCATCTAGTGAAAATATTGGTAGGTTCTGAAGTTTGGGAATTGGAAATTGATTTTATATTGACAAATCTTTAGACAAGTGTAGGCTTTCAGAAATTTTATGGAATGAACTCAAGTAATCAACTGAGTCTCTGCCATCACCAAGGGTATTAGCTCTGCCTAAATATATCCTAACTTGGCTCCCAAAGACACACTTGCTTGTTCTACATGATGGCTGAACATTCTCATGAATTGGTTATGGTAGTAGTACAGGGCAGAGGCAGATGATGTCTTCCAAATAGTTAGCTTATCAAGAATGAGTTTTGCCGTTACAGTAACTTTCAAGTTCTGAAATATGTGGGGATTGACAGTCACGTGTCTTCAAAGGATCCAAGGGAGCAGCATGAGCAGATTTGAATATACACAAGCAATATTTTAAGGTCAGTTTGTGATGAGTTATTGAACACTATTTTGTCACCCAACAGTACCAGCCTTTTTAGAGAACTGTGGTGAAGTTTCTTTATATACTTATCCGGACCCAGAAAAATTTTGGGGTCACTAGTCTTTCAAAAGAGCCCGAGTTAACCAAGATTATGACCACTATAGATACTCAACAGAAGTATTTCACATGTAATTTCACATTTAGAAAAGATCCTAATCTAGCCATTTTACAAATCCCCAGGCTCAGCAGCCAACTTTAGATGTTCTTCCACTATAGTAATTTCCTATGTGGTATGACAAAATAAAGCTATGCAAGATGTCACCTTTCTCTTACAGGAGCCATGTAAAAGTGAGCATATAGCATCAGTTAGAAGATCTGCAATATTGCAGGCTCTCATGCAGTAACTCTACTGATATATTTGCATCCAGATAAAGTACTATTCTCCCCTTAAGATGATATAAACCATTTAAACGCTACCGCCACTGCTGGAAAGTCTCCCAACTCCTTGTATCTGCATTCAGTCTGTGCAAGTTTTTCAAACACCGAAATCCAGTCAGATCTGCATTTACAGTCTATCAAGTTTTAAACATCTCACCACTGATCGAATTTCAAGTTATTTAATCAAGGTTACACTCTTCACTTGAGATATGGCTACAAATAATCTAAGATCTCAGCCTTCAAATTGGACTTGACTAATTTTAAAATATGCTTGGGCCGTGGCAGCATTATTTTTCAGGAAAGACTGGAAGGGCAAAAAAATTGAGCCCCTATAATTAAAGCCACTTGACATACATTTCCATGATCCTTGTAGCACAAAGTAACAGCTATTTTAAAAAGCCAGAACTGCAGAGAAGTCCATACTTCCAACAGATCCCACTGCTGCTCTACTCTCAAAGCACAACTCTAAAGTGAACATACATGTATTCCTCAGCAATTCCAATACCACACACAAAATATGCCAAATCCTCCAAATTCCTGGAACTACATATTGACAAAAACAGACATGAAGCCTGGATTTGGAACAATAATTACAAAAGTTTTATTTTTCAAATCCAAGGCAAAAAAAATTCCAGGTTGGAAAGTATTACCATAATTTACTTCAGAATCAAACTAGCTTAGTAGATGACTGACATATATAAATAGGCAAATGTGACAAGCTTTAGATTTTACTTATACTAGCTAAATTCTAAGCTATGATTATTTCATGTCCTTGGCCTGGGAAGTCAGGAAAAATTTAAAAAGAGCTGAGTGAAAATGCATTGTTGTTCCAAATTCTTTGAATCTTTTTTTCCCTGGAAAGACCCCAAGGGCTCCATTGCACTTTTATTTGAATGTAATATTTGGGACAATTGTCCAAAGGGCTGATAGTTCCTGATTAAACTGAGGTCATAATAAAACAAGCAACAAAACACTATTTGGGATTTCGATTTCTCCCCCTTATCATCAAGACTCACTGCCTCCCATCATCAATATTTATTGAGCATTTACAGTGTACTAGGCACAATAGAACATACAAGAAAACATTGTCCCTGCTCTTGAGGAGCTTACATTCTAAAAGAAAAAATACACCTCTTTTAAAATGGTATTTTTATTTGGTGTTTGCAAGGTACTTAGGAAATAGTCTGCAGGGCGAGCTTTGGGTATAACTTAGCCCCATTATTTAAAGGAGAGAGGGAGATTGGAAAGGCAGCCAATGACAGACCATTCCAGATAGGTAGAGTTTCACAGGGAGATAAAACAAGGAGACATTTGCTGCAGTAAATAGGATGAGGGAAATAGTTTATGGGATGCAAGCAAAGGAAGCAGGGCATCCTTAGACATTGAGTGGAGCCAGAAAGATCATGCGGCCTTTTCCAAGTACATGGCCACCAAGTAATAGTGGTTGGTGACAGACAGAAGGCTGAAAAGATAATCCTGTGTGCACCTGACAAATAGGAAGAATAAAGGATCAAAGGTGAAGGCAGGTTGTAAGAGTATCAAGAAATTCTTACAAACAAAAGCAATTTGGAAGCACAAAACTTACAGTTAATGCTACCCAATGTCATGATGGGCCGAGAACATTGTGGCTTCCAAGTAAGAAAATGCCATATGCTAAAATTTTAAATGGAACATATTATTTTTTTCCAATCAGTCCCCACACCTCTGAAAACAAACCCAACACCTTTTTCTCAGGGAGTTTGGGGGGCGGGAAGGATGGGGAGTATGGGACGTGGTTGGGAACAGTAGTTCTGTTAGTAGTATTTTGTTACGATAAACTTTGTATTTAAACTTGGTAAAAGCCCATTAGCTGCCAAGAGGGAATAAGGAATAAATTTCCAAAAATGTACAATTTCCTTTAGAGAAATTTCAGAACCAAAAGACTAATTTACATGAAAAGCTGTAGAGAAGTAGTTGAAAAGTCCATTCATAAAACTTTTATTCCACTTACATGAACTTAATACACGTGTTCTTAACAATTATGCTTAGATTGTTCATGAAAATTTCATAAGACATTAAACAAAGCTAGCCATCATCTCAAGTTATTTCCCTGTTAACTATTTTTACAGCACATGCATGTTAGGCAAGTATCAAAAAAAAAAAAAAAAAAAAATCACAAAAGCAAAAAAAAAAAAAAAAAAAAACCTAAAAAAAGTTAAATACATGGGTTTTTTGTTTTACTGCTATGCTTGATATACATGAAGTAATGGATACCAAGCAATTCAATTTACTGCATCTTTACTTGTACATTTGTTCTTAGGTTGCCTAAAACATTTAAATACAAATAAAATGAGTGTAGCAAAAATAATGAAAGCAAACAGCAGGTAACTTTACAAATAATGGAATGTGAACCGTTTCTGCCCTTATCCAGAGTTAATTGGGTCACAACTAAAGGAACACTCTGCAGTGTAGTCGAAGGAGTGCGCACTGAGACTGAGTATTCCAGATACACACGTGGTTCAACATGGACTACCCATGGACATCACTTCTAACAGCACTCTAAGTGCTCCAAAACTTAAAGTGCCACGACAACTACACCTGTGACTGGAACCAATTATCCCTTTTATTCCCCACCAGGACAAACCAATATGTAGGCAGTTTTCTTTGCTTAGACATGGAAGCAATTTTAACACTGGCCCTGTGAAGCCACAATGTACCAAAAGTACTATACCAAACATTTATAACTCGTATAAAAATTCCACATCCCCATATTGGCCACCTCAAGATGAAAACGTAACTCCCTAAATGTTAACTGGCTCTACTCCCCTAATATTAAACATAAAAACCACATGGGAAATATAGAAATTCAAATAGAAGTAACATAAACCTGTCATAAATCGTAAACAAAAAACTATTTGTGGGACAGCATGGATGACAAATGGTCTACTGTGTAAATTTTAGAATGAGGCAGACAAAAGTTTGAAGGCCGGTTAATTTTCTCCTCCTTCTCCTGCTTCAGCTTCATCTCCTTGGGTATCTGATGTCCACAACTGGTAAAAGAAAGAAAGATTTTTAGCATGTTTCAGTTTGAAAAAAGTACTAACAGGTATGTCTTCAAGTAAAGTCAAATGTAAGAAATTCATGGTTCTTCATAGAAAGTAAAGAGAAAGTAGAAGAAATCATAGAAACGCTAAGTATCAATAATGATCAGAATATCAGATTGTCCGAATAGCTCCAATGGCAGATGGATGTATACATTTAGTGCAACTAAATCAGAATATCTAATTGGGCTTATGCACAAGGCACTTTCCCCTTTTAAAACTTACACTCCTACTCCGAAAGAATCACACACCCCGTGAAATTCAAGAGCCAGGATACAAAGTAAAAATACAAGTTTAGCTTGTTTGGTATTTTTAGCTTATAAAAACATACCTTTATGAATTTGTTTAATTCAAAATAAATAGCTGAACACCAACCACAGCATGGTCAGAACCAAATCTTTTAAGAGGAAAAAACTGAATCATTCCATAGTGGCAAGAATAATGGATTCTATTAATTTTTTTCATCAGTGTTAGTTTTTTAGCAGATGAAAAAATTATTTCAGTTGCTTGAAATATTAGTAATTTTTTAAGTCTTATTACTATGCTATAATTTTAGAAGAGTTATTGACCAAGCTGCCTCCTGTATGCCCTAAACTGAAATTCAAGAGCCAGGATACAAAGTAAAAATACAAGTTTAGAAATCAAACCCTGGTTCATAGGGTGACACTCAACCACTGAGCCACACTAGCTGGGCAGCTTAGTTGGTTGGAGCATTCCATGCACCAAAGGGTGATGGCTGAATTCTCGGTCAGAGTACATATCCAGGTTTAGTTCAATTCCCGGCCTGGGAGTGGTGGGAGAGGCAATCAATTGATGTTTCTCTCCCTCTCAAAACAAACAAACAAACAAATAAAAATAAAAAATAAGAAAAAATAAGAAGTGATGATAATACAACATAGTAACTAGGTCTCAGGGTCTACCTTTCAGAATAACAAGTTCTCATCACTTCAAACAGACAAAATATAAAAAAATTATATTAAAATTAGCTAGTAAATTCTGCTTTTATCCTATCCTAAATAATAAAAACCTAATATGCTAAGTGTCTGTTCACCCATTTGGACATTCAACCAATCAAAGTGTAATATGCTAATATGCTAAGGCCGCTCACCCACTTCTATGACGTGCACTGATCACTACAGGCCAGACACTCCAACTGGTAGGTTATCTTGCTGCTGGGGTCTGGCTAATCAGGACTGAGCAAGATGGGACAGACATGCCCCGGAGCCCTCCCAGTCCCTTGGCTTGGCCTGCACCCTCTCACAGTGCAGGCCCCCCAGGGGGATTTCAGAGAGCTGGTTTTGGCCCGATCCCACAGGCCAGGCCAAGGGACCTCACTGGTGCACGAACTTGTGCACAGGGCCTCTAGTTTATGATATAAAAAGATATATTCTGTAAAAAATCATGGCTTATTTTCTTGATTAAAATAAAAAATCTCACAGGCTCAATCCCCAATTGAGGGAGTGCAGGAGGCAGCTGATCAATGATTCTCTCTCACCATTGATGTTTCTATCCCTCTCTCCCTATTTTTTCCTCTCCGAAATCAATAAAAATGTATTTTAAAAAATAATAATTTTAAGTGTTTAGTAATAATAAACAAGTACACAAGACTGTTAAAAAAAACTCTCTTTGAAGAAATTCAACACTAAAATGTAGAACTGGTTCAAGAAATTAGCAGTGGACTAGAATAAAACTGGAAGAAATGAAATGTATAATGATTTAGTCCCCAAGAGAAAAGGCCCTAAAGCAAACAAAAACCAGTAGCACTAGTCTATAATTTTCCTCCCTAGCTCTTCACCAGCAGATACTTGATAATTTTTCACTAACTTCAAATTTAATATTTATCTGAAGGAGAATGGGAAAACCTATGAGACCAAAGTGACATATAAAAAAAATTGCAATATGTAGACTTTATTTGGATCCCAATTTGGATAAAAAACTGTTAAAAAGGATAATCATGACCTTTTAAACTAAGAGACTAGGCAAAATAAATGGGGGGGGGGGGAGGCGTCATCCAGGTTAGAATGGAAAATAAAATGGCCTACGTGTTTGCAATGCAAAAATCATGGATTACAAAATTATTTTAACAATAAATATGCAATTAATGAACTCAACTTTTTGTTGTTAATCTTCAGCTGACCACATTTTTCCATTGATGATTATTGTTAAGAGTGGAAAAGGGGATGGGAGGAGCGAGACATCGATGTGAGAGACACATTGATTGGTTGCCCCCTGCACACACCCTGACTGGGGTCAGGGAATGAACCTGCAACCTAGGTACTGGCCTAGAGTAGGAATTGAATCTACAACCCTTTGGTCTACAGGCTGATGCTTTACCACTGAGAAACACGGGTGAGGGCGAAACTGAGTATTTTTAAATCTTTGTTTTAACATTTCAGTTTTAACAGTGTTTTTTCCTTCTTTAACAGTGGTTTTCTTCAGTTTTAACAGTAGATAGGACCTTTTCTTTTAATATTAAAAAAAGGATAGAAATATTCCTTATAGTAATCTATAAAACAACAATCTCTTCAAACACAGTAACTATTAACTATGTACTTACTGTCAAGTTGTCTCTCAGTAACTGCATTATTAGTGTGCTGTCTTTGTATGACTCTTCACTTAATGTATCAAGTTCAGCAATGGCTTCATCAAAAGCCTATGATTTAAAAAAGTACATTTCAGTGCTCAAATATTAAAGATCATTATATTTCCACACAACAGGTAAAATACATACCGTCTTTGCAAGAGAGCAGGCTTTCTCCGGGGAGTTCAGAATCTCATAATAGAACACAGAGAAGTTAAGGGCCAGACCCAATCTGATAGGATGTGTTGGTTGCATTTCCTTTTTGCTAATTTCAAAAGCTTCTTGATATGCTTGTTGTGACTGGTCCACAATCCCTGGGTAATAAAACACACAGAAATATATTAATAAAACTTGTACTTCATCTTCATCCCTCAATATCCAACGAAATATCAACTTGTAGTAACCTTAACTGAATGAGGTTCTTTTAACTTAAAAAATAAGCTGCTCCTGGGATACCACATTATCGGTCAATGTCAAGACAAAATTGACTCTAATCATCTCAGTATTATATTTTATTATAGTTTACAATGCTCTATAGTTATGCTGTGATCGCTATTTCTTAAAACTGAGGAAACACTCCTAGGCACAAAATTGGCTTTTCAGCCAGCTGCAATTTTAGAATACCAGTGTTAGGCAGTATATATTCTCAGGACTAAAAAAAAAAAAAAAAAAAAGAAACCAGGTACAGTGCGATCGAAACTTCATGGCCCATGTGCAGAAGTCGGTTTTCAGCCTGGGCGAGTCTATTTTGAAGCAGTGGCGTTAGAACACTCAAGAGCCAAAGAACTACATGTGGCTCACGAGCCTCAGTTTGCCAACCACTGCTCTAAGCAATTAAAAAAATAAAAACAGCCCTAGCTGGTTTGGTTCAGTGGATAAAGCATCAGCCTGTGGACTGAAGGGTCCCATGTTTGATTCCGGTCAAGGGCACATGTCTTGATCCCCATTGGGGGATGTACAGGAGACAGCTAATCAATGATTCTCTCTCATCATTGATGTTTCTATCTTTCCCTCTACCTTCCTCTCTGAAATCAATGAAGATATATTTTAAAAAATTTAAAAAACCCAAAAAACTACCTGCACTTTAGAAAAAGACCACTTCCACATTTTTTTTAAAAAATACAGGTTGAAAAATAAAGCATACCTTTCTTGTCATCCCCAGCAGCAACCTCAGCCAAGTAACGGTAGTAGTCGCCTTTCATTTTCAAATAAAAGACTTTGCTCTCTGCTTGTGAAGCATTGGGGATCAAGAACTTTTCCAAGAGAGACTTGGGGAAGAAAAGAAAGTCATAATAAGAACAAAACATTTACAAAATCGAAGGAACCCGCATTGAAGAGCACACATGGCCTAAGTTATAAAACTTGAATAGAGTCATTGCCAATAATTCAATTGTTGAATGCAGTAGACTCATGAATTTGTGGCTTTAAAGCCAAATGCTTTAGAAAGCAACACTTGAAATTTGAAGTTAGTGTACAGTTTATTATTTAAGGTTTATATATTTGAATAACCACCCTTCTACCCTTCCACCTCTCCCACAGTGCTAGTTACATGCCAAAAAAGACTGCATGTTTCAATGATAGTCCACATTTCTAACAAGCTGGCAAAATTTCCATTTTCAAGGTGGTCATGATAGAATGGAAAAAAAACCCAACAACACACGGGGTGAATGTTTTGGGACTCTGAAGGAATTATGATTTACACAGAAATTAATAATGTAATAGAATCTACCAGACTTCATGACAGAGGAAACAGAACAACATTAACTTCATTTATAAGAATATACTCAAGTAATACTTCACACAACAGGTAAAAATGTTCAAAGTAAAAATTTTAATTTTCCTAACTAAAGAGAGCAGCAGAATTATGAAAATTACAGTTCCGAAGAGTAAACCTTTGACTTTTAGCAAATAAGATAGATGAAGTGGGTAATGGCCAAGGTGGCAGTAAGACTAAACTGCTACTGTATTATAGGAACAGGAATGAAGGTGACCTAAGTCCTCTGTGATTATGCCTCGACCTAAGCATTCCTATTTCACATTTTACACTCACTTCTCCAAATACCTCTTAAATGACACTGTGCTAGGCACTGAGAACATAATGGTGAGCAAGCAAGACAGTCTCTAGTTTGTGAATGAGTGGTCTAGCAGGAAAGACAACTGAAACTAAGAATAACACTGCCTAGTCATGTCCTTCACTTTTCAATTACTTTATCTAACCCACTAGACATACGTAAACAGGCAGGCCACAATCCTGCAGTTAATGATAGATCACTTAAGATGTAAATGTTAACATAAACATCAGAAACTATAAGTTATTTAGAAAAATTGCCAATAAATGTCATGAGAATTAGTAATTCACCTCTTTAGTAACTTCTGTATCCCTAAAAAAATGTTATTTTACACAAAGATAAACTCATACAGAGAATTTAAAAATAGTAGGCAAGCACCTCTTCCCTCCAGGTGAACACTAAATTAGTTATTACATCTGATGAAAACAGTAACAAAAAAATAACTTTAAAGCTGCCGAAACCAGTTTGGCTCAGTTGATAGAACGTCGGCCTGCAGACTGAAAGGTCCCAGGTTCGATTCTGATTGCGGGCACATCCCCAGTAGGAGGTATGCAAGAGGCAGCTGATCGATGTTTCTATCTCACCAATGTTTCTCTCTCATTGATGTTTCTAACTCTTTATCCCTCTCCCTTCCTCTCTGTGAAAAATCAATAAATTGACTTGCTCAGACCAACAGAATGTGGTGGAAATGACTGCTGTTCCAGTTCTGGGCCTACCCCTTGAGGACTGACAAATTCCCCCTTTGCTCTCTTGGAGCCCTGGGCCAGATGCAAAAAGTACCCTTCTGGAGAGACAGGCCAAGGCAGCTCCAGTCAGGATGTTAAATGAAGCCACTCAGTTATTTCGCCCTGGCTGAATGCAGAGCAATAAGTGATCTCAGCCAATACAATGTAAAGAACTGGCCAAGAGTCCAGGCAAGCCAAAGAATCACAAGAACATATCCTTGTTTTAAGTCACTAAGTTTTGACTGGTTTGTTATACAGTAAGCAAACGAAGAAAATAATCATATCATTTCAATAATAAACATGACATTTTTGACACCTCAATTAAACATTTTATATGGATTATTTGATCCTTCCATAACCTTACCAATAAGGTACAAACTACAATGATCCCCATCTTATAAAAGACAATGTAATGTGTTTAAAACCACAGCTAACTTGTGAAGATACAACTCCAACTAGGCAATCTGACCTGTGCTACCATGTTACATTTTCTGTTTCAATAGGGTGATGTGCCTACAAAAAAGGCTAGTGTGACTCCAAGATATTAATAAAATTAGAAAGTTAAAGAAAATGATTAAGTTTCACACTGGGCTAATGAGAACTAATCTAGAGTATATTGTTTTTATAATGTATCAAGACAGGCATTTTCAAACTGGAGAGTTTCTAAGGAAAGCAAGCAAGAATAATGAGGAACTAGAAACTATCATTAAGATTGAAAGACTATTGTATGAATGGCTCCAGAAGATAAGACTAGTTAAGTTCAGCAAGAGGCAAGGTATCTGCTCAATATTCAAAAAATTGTATGAATGGTCCAAGCTTGGAATAGGCCACCTAGTCGGAAACGCTAAGGGAGATTAATAGTCATAGATACAACACATAAAGTGATTGTGAAGATTAAATGAGTAAATATATAAAAGCATTTAGAACAGAACAAGAAGTGCTATCAACAGCCCAATCTGAACCAAATTCCTGAACCAACTATTTACTTTCCTGCAAAAAAAGTTAGTAACAACAACAAATGCTCCATTTTTATGGTTTAAAAGTTTTTGGTCCTAAGATCACATTATACTCATAAAATTTTTCTAGAAAGCTGACAAGATCAGGTTTTCCAAAATTCATATTTTTGTTTCAAAGCTTAAATCTTATCATTAATCACAAAAAGTGACATGACAGGATAGCCTGTCTGTGATCCTACTCATGTACATTCTTCAAAGATAGAATGCAAATTTCCAGGATTACAAAAAGGCCTGAGAGAGAGTACTACCTCTGAGGTGGTGAAATGTCAAGAGAGTTTTAATTTTTTACATTATATCCTATGTTAGTTTTACTATTCAGATGAAGTATAACTTAAAATAAAATTATGATTTTGCACCTTTAACTTTTCACATACATATGCATTCTTAATCTATTTACTGGTTCCTTAAAGACACATTTTGCACATATTAGGCATTCAAATATTAAGTCCAAGGTTGAATTATAATAAATGTATAATTTGAACTGCTTCATTTAAATATAACAGAAAAACTTAGAATGATCTTAAGAGAGGATGAAAATCTTAGGTCAGCATGCTCAAGACTATCAAGTGTTCATCATCTTACCAAACTTCGAAATAGTTAAGACAAAACATGATAATGATTACTGAAATTGATACTGTATATTAATGAAAAATACTCAATATTCTGCTTCTCAGAAGACTTAAGAAATTGCTCAAAGTACATATTCAGAAACAGCAGCCAAGGAGCAGGCTAGGTACATCCTAATATTGGATAAGGCTCCAGGTTTCTCTGTAATAACCTTGGAGAAGGAAGCTTAAGGGAGACAAACATCCATCGGAGATATAGGGTGGGAGGGTAGTTTGAGGCAGCAAAACAGAGTAAATTTGTTTGCAAGTCAGGAGCTCTGGAATTTGGAACTACATTATCAAGAGGCGTGGTAGGAGCAAAATCACAACTTGCAACCTCATCAATCTTCTTTTCACTATAGCACTAATTTCAAAATCCCCCTTCCAATTTTATTCCAGGAAACGTTCTCTAATGCACTCAACATTTGCCAACCCATCACTTAGATTTTTTTAAAAATTCAAGGTCACACCCTGAAGTGTCATCCCATACACCAAAAGGCTGTGGGTTCAATCTATGGAAGGCAACTGGGGAGTGTGTGCGTGTCCCTAAAAATCAATAAAAATACATATTCCCAGATGAGGATTAAAAAATAAAATTCAAGGTCACTTTTTCTTAATAGGAATCAGAATTTATAGACTAAGTCCTTGGATTAAACTCAAAGAAACTACATATTATAAAGTGTCCATACAGATGCTCCCTAACACAATGGGGTTACATCCTAATAAACCAACACAAGTTGAAAGATATAGTTAAGTTCAAAATGCACTTAATATATTTAACCTACCGAAAATCAGTTTAGTCTAGCCTATCAGAACGCAATATCCAAAAAATGTTGGCGATAGTACATCCTGTAGAGTACTGGATGTTCTTGAGCCTGACTGGGAGCTGTGGCTTGCTGCTGATGCCCAGCTTATTACAGAGTATTGCACATCACTAGACTGGGAAAAGATTACAATTCAAAATTCCAAGTGTGGTTTCTACTGAATGCATATCACTTTTACACCACCATGAAGTTAAAAAAATCATTAACTAGAACCATTGTTAAGTTTGGGGACTGTCCATACATTTAAAGAATGGTCACTTCCAGCCATGCACTCATATAACTGGGCTGTGTGCTGTCATTTGGGCTTGCCAATTAGAATATACATAAAACCAACTAATGAAAAATATATTTCAAAGAAAATGACAAGTTACGGAGTTGGGATACCTAATGTCCTATCTAAATGGTTGAGTAACAAGAAAATATCATGTGTCTCCTAACATGATGCACCAAGGAGGGCCCAATATCATTTCCAGGAATTCTTCCCCATTATGTACCATCTGAATTTAATCATTAAGAATCGCCAGACATACATTTAGGGGCATTCTACAAAATAACTGGCCAGTACCGTTTTAAAAAGTATCAAAATCGTGAATGGCAAAGACTGAAAAACTGACCCAGAATAAGAGAGAGCAAGGAGGGCAAAGTGTGATTCTGGATTGAATTCTTAACCATAATTAAAGTGGCATAATTTGTGAATAAATTCCATAGGTTATATAGCTTATTTTATAAACTAATTAACCTCCATTAAAAAATTTTAAAATTATTTCAAAATGAAAAGTAGTGTTAAATTTAATTTTCACAAAGTATACATAAAATGTCATGAGCAATAGTTAATAGCCCTGGAATATCAAAGCAATCAACCACTAATGAGACATTTATGGATGCAATTTAAAACTATGGCTGAGGTTAACAGTCTCCTTTAATTTGACCTCACCAAATATGAGTTGGAAAGGCCAAAGCCTCCATAACCCATTCCTGTCTTAGACTGTACTACCATGGCCCTCTTCCATGAACACAACAGATGAAGAG